TTTTTGCTGTATGACGTATTAAATTTTGTTTGCATACGTTTGACGGAGTTGTAAGTTGTACGCTAGGAAGTGAGACAGAATTGATGAGACTTTAACGTGTACAATAATCTGATGCATTTTACATGGACAAGATCAGCATTAGCCGTGAAGTCTAACATAAGTTGAGACGAATCGTTATCGGTACCGGAATGTTCCAACTGTTAGTTGTTGGTTTGGAGCCATTGCGTTCTGTGCAGAGTGATTCGCAGAGTGTTATTTCAAAAATTTGTAACAATTCACCTAAACTGCAGCTTTTGTTCTCAAATTATGTGCATTTGTAACTCGTTTGTAATAGTCGAAGAGAAGCATCACTCCTCAAAATAGACTGGGTAATACCATAAATTTTTCAGGTTTGATTAGTTCGAAAAATCTTTGCGAACCTTTGTGGTGGCAAATCCCACCTTTTTTGGTGAGTTTTTATCTCGAAAAGATGCTGAAATTTGGTGCAGTCGGCTCTGGGCTTTGCTACATGGGCGTAAAGGTGCTACAAGTTCTTGAAGATAGTAGAAATCGATTGCATTAGTAATTCAGATAGTGGGGGTTTTTTTCAAACCTTTTATGACCTGTCCGACTTAAAAGATTATAATATGAGAGATTGGCGAAAGAACATCGACTTGAGTTTGATTTTGTTTATAGAACCAAAAATTGGGTCATGGAGATAATTTTAACATCCTAGAACGTTTTTCTACGTCATCGGAAGAATTTACTTAGTACGGTTCCTCAGGCGCAGAACTGGAAACTCTTCGTAAGTGCGCAAAAAACCCTCGCAAATAATTCTGTATAATATTTGCTCAGGAAAAATTTTTATTTGAAAACACTTGATATTGAAAGCCCTGCGCCTCGCTTTCAGACGCAAATTCTGCAGGTGACGCTGATTTTGCTACTATGAAATGCATGAGATTACTGTAAGAGCATTAGTATTTTTTGAGCTTCTTTTTGCATTCCAGCTTATAAAGTCTCGAGGGCGTTAGAAACACAGCAACAAACTGTAATATATCATAAAGCAAAAAAATCTACACAAAATGTAATTTTAAAACTTCTTTTGAAAAAGTCTAATAAAGCTTTTTTTTTAAATTTTCTTTTTTCGAGGTTTTGCTTTTGTTTTTTTTACCCACCTCCTTTATTAAGTAATATTTTTAGAAGCAAAAAAGACGAGAAATCCAACAGGAAAGACAGTAATCTCATCAAGGTTAAATTTATAAAGGTTTGACGTGATATATTTGTTAGGCAGAAATCTGGCGAATATTACAAGCAGAAAATTCACTTTTTCAATTTCTTTCTCTAGTTTCTTGAATCCTAACTCAGATCCCGCTAAGCAACTAAAACACTGAAAGTTTCTGGAACGTTTAGTGAGAACTGTTTACCAGTTACCACGAACTGCTAATATATATATAACGTACATATAAATATATACGCTATAGGCAGTACGTGGTAACTGCCACATTTTTTCAAATTCTTTTTCAGATTTGTGGGACTTGGTACCCGACTGTGAAATGAAAAAAAAGTATTCTAAAGAGTGTGTCGGTGATAAAATTAGACCTTATGAAGTGCAGAACAAGGCAATTTTTGTTAAGCACGGCCATCTTTCGAGATTTGTAATTCTATTTATTCACAAAGAATTTTCAAAGGTTTTCATTTCATTTTCCATTTAAAAAAAATTATCTCTCCCGCACTTAAAGAATCGGTATGACAGGAACACCGTTGATTTTATAAAGAATCGTAGAGAAAACAAACAATCGGAACATTGTCCTACAAAACTGACACTTTAAATTTTTCAAAAAGTTTATTTTTTATGAAGTAATTTTTTATACAGCATTAAAAGTATAATGGAATTCTTATGGTATCTTGAGTGAAGGTGCAATTGGTAAAACTAGTCCGCAAAAAATCACCAGTTGGCGCAGAATCTTCGCGCCACTGCAAGTCCTAGACTTTCTTTTTCCACCAAAATATTGTTGTATTGAAACGTGGTTCAGCCCGCTAGTGTAATAACAGGTACCTGATTAAGAATTTTTTTCCTCTGAATGATTTAATTAAGATTTTTCGACAAAAATTATCGTTACAGTTACTTCTCCAGTCATTTCGTTTGCTTCTTCACTAAACTCTTTTGACGCGAATATTTGAAATTCATCGCCGGCTGTCGACAGGGAACACTGTTTTGCTGCTGTCTTTCCGGCAGTGCATTGATTGTAGACGTTGACGAAGATATGGGAATTGTGATTCAGGGACCGATTCAGGGATGCTGTCAAACAAAGACGCTTGTCGCAACCCACTCGTTTGCGGTATAATTTACCCGGTGGAAGATTCTTCGACCGCTACTCATAGGCCTTTCCATTTCCAAGGTTTCCCTGAAGATCCTGCCAATGAGAAATGCATGTCTGGAACAATTCCAACTGTTCGGACACGAAGCTTGTTACAGACGCCACTCTGGGGCGATTTTCGAGTATTTAGGATCCTCAATGTGGAAAGATTTTATGGTCTTTAGAAAGCTCTAATCACGTGCAGTTAAAACTTCTAATCTAAACTGTTGTATTTTGACTAAGAGTAATCCGTCTCGTTTTTTTCTTTTGCATGTTACCTTTTCCAGCTATTTCATGTTTTCGCAGAAGCCGGTTGAAGTTTTAGAAATTTTTTCGTCTGCTTAGGAAATTCTCCCGGAACCAGCCTGTGCTTATCAAAAGGCTTTAAAAATGAGTTACTTGATTCTATTGGTTTGATTAAAGAGTCTACCCGTTGAGTTATATGTTTTCTTGCTCTGGTTTCTATCCTTGTAGGAGCGGGTACAAAAGAGTTTATGGTACTTTATGATATTGTACCACGTAAAATAGATAGTACAAGAAACTCCTGAACGGTTCTACAGGAAAAAAAACCAGTGGAAAGAAAGGACATTTAATTTGTAAAGTTGAACCCTGACCAGTGGTCAATCCAAGACACTACAAGTAGTCCGTTCTTAGAGCTTTCTAACATGCATAGGCTGGTCCTGAAATAAACGTTCTAAGTGGATGAAAAACTTTTCGGACACAAAAAAAACACAGTGAAGTAAAAAAAAAAGTAGGTAACTCAATAAATCGGTCCGTTCTTTCCAGCACCACGTTCCCTGTAAACTTATCTGTCGCATGCACACGAAAAACTATTGGATCATACAGCGGATTTCTGGGAAGAGACTAACGAAACAATATTCACTGCCAAAGGTCGACATCAAATTGCAGAAGATCAGGTCAAAAGAGTTCACTGAGGAAGCAGGGCAATATAGATCAAAAAAATAACCATAACGATAATTCTTGTCAAAAAACTTTGCTCAAATTACTCAGCAACAAAAATTTCGAGTCAAGTTCCCGTTACTGACGTAACCGGACTAAAGTGTGCTTCAGTATGGTGTATTTAAATTGGAACGCTATCACCCGCAGAAGCTCCAAAGCATTGCTTAAACAGAGGATTTTTGCAGTTCAGTTCCACCATTCGCATGGTAACTTGTGGTATCATAAATACATGGAAAAACCACCGTGCTCCTTTAATGTGTTATACAAAAATCATGTGTTCATAAAATATTCCATTTTGAGAAACCTTAAGTGTCAATTCTTTAAAAAAAGCACTGTAAGTTTTTGATTTACCTCTTTTTTTCAGTGTAGTTTGGCAATGTATTCGTTTCATAACTAATAGGCTACGGGAAAGAAACTTTCTGACAAAATCAAAATTTTAAGTTATGTTAAGAAGAACCGTTAGCCGTTGAAAGATTTTTGGTGCACGAAGTCACCAGTAGCCCAGTTCAATTTTATTTTCTTCTAAAGGGGCGGTGAGTAGTCGCAATTCAGACTTTAACTTCAAAAATTTTATGCCTCGTCAAAATCCTAAAAAACTGCTGGGTTTTCACCAGACACTTCTGTTTTTCTAAACTTATAGTTCAGCTCAGCTTTGAATGAACTGAAAAATTTGCCCTTATCTTTTCTTACTTGACTTAGATGGGGAAAGCATCAATCTCTAATATATAACCCAGGCCCTATAGTCGTGGTAGTTTAACTAGGATAAGAAGAATAGATTCAGAACAATGGAGGTGAAAAAAGGAATCAAGTCGTTTACAAGGTTGATGAGACGACAAATAGAGGTGAGTGGTGGTCTAGAAAGAGGGCATACAGGAAAACACATTATAACTGATTCTAGACGTTCCAAACATAAGGGTACTTTACAAAATTTTAAATATCAGAATATTTGAAAATAATCTCTCCTCGTTAAGATTTAGCAGCTTTTATGCCTTAATTAGTTGGAGTCCATTCAACGGTTTTAGCTCCTATCGCTTGGACTCGAAGGGTGATTCTGAGTACTGTCATAACTCATCACGGTTATCCAAAGCTTCTAAATTAGTGCAAGCTGTAATCAAATAGACGACTGAAGAAGAAAGTAAAAAAATAAAGAAAAGCACATGCATAAGAGGTTCAAGAAACATAAAGGTATGCTGTGAGGTCAGAAAAAAGATCTAAAAGCTTCAAAACAAGATTCTTGTTGAATTGATGAACAGAGACTGCAGTGAATTTTTTTTGCTATTACCTCAATTTGTAACTATCAATGTCTATTTCCCCCCGCACAAATAAAATTCCATCGGAAGCTCTTTCTTCTTCGTAGTAGTTTTGGTTCTCCAAGTCGTTTTTAGTGTGATTTGGTCGAAGTTTACTCATATTTCTAATCAGGCTTGGCGGTAGAGTAGTTTGAATTTTGTATAGAAAGTTTCCTTTCTGACGAAATAGTGACTACTGAAATCTAACTTTTGATCACGCGGTAGTCTCGTGCAGACACTAAATGGATTACCCGAAATTCTGCTCCTTATACTTTGGGTTCCGTGTCACGCCAAAAAGTCATTTCCTCCTTGACTTCTGAGAGGTTACAGGTGGAAACAATAAGTTTTGTGTGAAATGGAGTTTCAGGCGCTAAAGTGTTTCTGCGAAGCTTTTATTGTTGGCGGGATGGAATGTGCTTCCTCGAGAAAGTGAAATTGGCGAAGCTTTGTCTCATCAGTGACACCACCCACCTTAAATGACGAGCTTATGAATTTGTCCAAAAGTGTTCTGCTAACCCTTCACTTATTGCTGAGTATGGTCGGAAAAAACAAGTGCTGAATACCATGTTGTGTGTAGAAGGTTTAGAACTTGTGCTATTGGGACAGTGATTCCCTAAAAGTGATCAGTGTTTCTGACAACCCGAATCTGAAAGATGCCTTTTTTGGCGTCTCCGTTGCAGCACTTTCATATGAGGACTTTATTTAAGAGATCTTTGGCCATTTTTAATCAAGGTCTACTTTGACTAGAAAAGAGCCTTATTTTCTAGGCTCAGCAATGTTGAGTAACGGCCGGATTATAGTTCCCGATACTTAGCTAAGGTTGTAGAGGCAGAAGTTTCTCATTGTCCTGTTCGTAGTTCCTGTTCGTAGTGAAGGTGGGATAATAACGCGTAGACCTCAAGAAAAAAAGGGGGAAAAAAGATAAACTGTTTGACATCATCAGATCCATGTTTGCTGAAAAAAAAAA